TGAATTATTACCTCTCAAGGCAAAAGGGACTCTGAAGATGTGATTAAAGTACTGACTTGGAGCTGGAAACAGCTTGCATCCACCAAAGATTCATAGTGGCACTAGACTTATGCAGTTGAATTAATCAGTATGAAAGATAGCTATGTTGTAATAAAGACAACACAAAATAAATGATAATTGGAATATGTCTAGTTTTTCTTAACTGCAGAACCATGAATTTAAAGTATATGTTCACACTGAGGTGTGTGTTCATAATGAGTTCTATTTCCACTGTTTGTAAGGAATGTCCTAATGCATATTTATACTGGCTCCAAATTATAATCTGTTACTCTTTTTTAGTTAATGGCCTTTTCTCTTTTCAATCTAAAATAACCTCAGATGAAAACTATAATATTAAACTTTCTATGCCCAAACTAACCAGAGAAATTGCAAAATACCATATTGGTGCTAGGTTTTATGAGTGAAGCAAAATTGTTTTTGCATATATAACATTCAAATAAGTGTTTAAAAGATCCATAAAAGTGTATGACTCATTAATCTGAAAGATAAAATACATATATACATGATAAGATTATATGAGAGTTTATGACTAAATGACTTAACAGAAAGTATTACACACGATAACATTGCAAGTTCCTGAAGTTTGATCTGAGACTAGGAAAGACTAGGAAAATGGGGCTATGATAATATTTTAAGATAGGCAAAGATTCAAATCATTTCTCATGTAATTTTTTTTTTTTTTTGTAATATTAGGGTTTGAACTCTGGGCCTTAAGCTTGTTAGGCTGGCTGGTGCTCTACCACTTCAGCCACATCTCCATCCCAGTCTTCGATGGTTATTTTTGAGATGTAATCTACCAAACTTTTGTGCTTCAACTGGCCACAAACTTTGATCCTCCAAATCTCAGCCCCCTCGGTAGTTAGGATAACTGGTGTTAGCCACTGGAGCTTGTTTCATGTGAACTTTTCTAAGGAAAATATTAGACGAAATACTTGACAAAATGAGGAAGTAAACTAAGAAAGGCTCTCAAATGGTAAAGCCAGGGCTGCTATACAAGAGAGGGCTGGAATTTCAGTGTAACAACTAGAACTAGGATCACTAGCACAGACTGGGGCAAAACCAATGGAGGACACATGATGACCCATTGCAACAATGATACCCACAAGACAGTATATTGGAAATGAACTTTACAACTTGGTTGGGGTGGGGGGACTGGGGGAGGGAAAGGGACAGTGGGAGAACAACAAAGGAGGGGGTAATAATGCTCCACAAGAAATGTACTCATTACCTTACTCATGTACAAGAAATGTACTCATTATCTTACTCATGTAACTGTAACCCCTCTGTACAGCATCTTTACAATAAAATAATGGAGACGGTTCTAATCAAAAAAGGAAAGTGAAAGAATGTCTTTTGATATCTCATTTGATATGTTAGAGGTACTAGATCCACTGTTGTATGTAGAATACAGTAATAGTAAATTAGATGCAATACCAAGAAGAATAATGCCAATTAACTTACAGAGCCAAAAAAAAAAAAAAGAAAGAAAAGGAAATGCCATGTTTCTGTTTCAGTAGTGAACAATACATACCAGCTAACTTAGTCAAACATCCTTACAAACTACTGGGAGAATGGATTTATGATATCATGTTAAGAGACTAAGTACTCAGCTACCCTAACTCAGAAGATAACACTTATACTACTTTATTGTTGTTGTTTTTTGATTGTTTACTTTTAAGCAACAAAATCTAGAAAGAGGGAGGTAAGTTCAGATAAAGTTAAAAAACTTGGGAGCACTGCCTTTAAAGAGTGAGAAGAGATGGAATGAGGGTGTGGGGAAGTAGAGGACATCTCAGTATGAACATTTACTTTAAATTTGTGGGTGCTGCAGATAAGAAAAACTAGTCCTGTTTCAAACATAGTTGATATCATGTTGTCTTTATTAGAATAAAGCTATCTTTCATGCTGATTATTCAATTGCATAAGCCTAGTGCCAATATGAATTTTTTGTGGATGCAAGCTGTTTCCAGCTCTAAGTCAGTGCTTTAATCATAAATCTTGAAAAAACCATGGGGGATAGTGTCTGTTTAAAAATTAAAGAAAAATCAAGACTTTGAGGCTATATGCCAGGGTCTGGTAGATTAGGCAATGAGGTCACTATTATTCACTCACATAAGTACCAAGCAGGGCTGGGAATGTGGCTTAGTGGTAGAGTGCTTGCCTAGCATGAATGAAGCTCTGGGTTCAATTCCTCAGTACCACATAAAAAGAAAAGGCTGGAGGTGGTGCTGTGGCTCCAAGTGGCAGAGTGCTAGCCTTGAGCAAAAGAAGCTCAGGGACAGTGCCTGGGCCCCAAGTTCAAGCCCCAGGACTGGCAAATAAATAGTATCAAGCAACTATTCATTCTGACGCAGGCATTAAGCTAGATATTAGGAATACAAAAGCAAATGAAGATATGAAGATATGTAAGTTCCCTGTCCCCATGGAGCATGTACCTACTACAGAAATAGAAAATGAGCAAAATAAATAAAAAGAAGTAGAGATTTGGGCTGGGATGTGGCTCAATGGCAAAGCGCTTGCCTAGCAAGTACAACGTCCTGGGTTCAATCCCCAGTACCAAAAAAGAAAAGACAAAAAAAAAAAGTAGAGATTGTAGTAATAAGTGGTAAGAGGTGGAAAAATAACTGCTGTGATAGAGAATGAAAGTGTGGAGAAGGCCGGATAGCTTGAAACCAGAACTGAGGCAGGGAAGTTTGGTACATGTAGAAAATGTTAAAAATTCATTTGTAGGATGATTGCCCAAAATGAAGTTAGTATTTTAACTAAAGGAGAGACAAGGGCAGGCCAAAAAACAAACACATACACACAAAAAGAGGGAAAAGAAGGAGAAAGAGAGGGAAGGAAGGGGGATTAGAAAAGTAGCAGGAGCCTGTTTCACACCTGTAATCCTAGCTACTCAGGAAGTTGAGATCTCAAGATTCCGGTTCCAAGCCAGCCCAGACAGAAAAGTCCCCATGAGACTCATCTCCAGTTAACCACTCAAAAACCAGAAGTGGAGCTGTGGTTGCTCAAAGCGGTAGAGCGCTACCCTTGAGCAAAAGAGCTCAGGAACAGCCCCTAGGCCCTGAGTTCAAGCCCGGAGAGCAAGACAACCACCCAGGCACAGACAGTGAAAGGTGGACAAAAGAAGTTTATTTATACTATTTACACCAGAAAAGGGACTTGAGACTACCTTGTCCTGGGCTAGATATCCAGAACCAAGAGCAGCCTCAATCACCAGACCTCCGTTGGTCTGCAAACCACCAAACCTCAGACCTCCAAAGGGGAAGGCTTTTTCCCTTTCTGCCCTTCCTCCTCCTCTGCAGGCCTCTCCACTCTCCTCAGGCCTCCTCTGCTCTCCTCTTGGAGGCGCCTCTCCACTGGCCTCTCTAGAGGAAGGTCCTAAATGGCCTCCCAAATGGCCTGTCCTCCAAAGCCCTGCCCTGCTGTGGCAAGCTTTCCCCTCCTGTCGTCCCTCCCTCCACTCCTACTACTCTCCATACTCAAGGTTTCCCCCTAACCTCCCTCTAACCTCTCCTCTCAGGAATCCAGGTGTCCTCTGGATTCCTCTCCTCCCTCTAGACTGTCCCGAATGTTTTCCGCTACCCTCTCCTCAACCTCTCCTTCACCTCTCCTCAGGACTCCGGGCTTTCTCCTACTCCCCCCTTGTACCCAGAAAGGCTGCGCCCCTCCCCCACCAATGGTTTCAAACCGCCACTCAAGCTTAAGCTATTGATTATGGGGGGGGGGGCTATGAGGTCATTACAGCCCCATTAACTGACAAGAAAATAAGGAAAGAAAGGAAGGGGGGAAGGAAGGGAGGGAGGGAGGAGGAGGAAGAAATAGCAGGAGTCCCATCTCTCTGGGTATGAATTTGGGGCGTCCTCAAATACAGCTAATCTTTTTTTCTTTTACTTTTTAAATTTTATTTTATTTGAGAACATACTGTACAGAGGGGTTACAATTACATTCTTACCAAGCATTCAGCCTCCTCCTTTGTTTACCCTTCACCTCCCTTTCCAGCCTCCCCCCCCCCCCCCATCCAATCATACCCCCCCCCCCACATTGTAAAGCTGGTTTTGACATGACATTTTGTACTTCTCATTGTTGCAACAAGTCGTTTAAGGATTCAGGTGGACCTGTTGCAACAACTAATCTTTAATATACTTTTTTTTTCAGAAAGTGTGCAAAAGTTACTAAGAGTTAACCATCTAGAAAAGTCCCAACATGTTAAGAGAGTTCAGTTCAGGCGGGGCCTGTAAGTCAAGAAGACCACGAAGACACTTTTCCCAGCAGTTATCTCCTGAGTTGTCACTCATCTAATAACGCGGCTCCTGTTTATCTTGGAAATTAAGGTGCACTGAAATATGGTTCCCAGACTCTTTTGGGGGAGTCACTTTGCAGAAATACCCGCAGATGATCCCCTGCATCCCAGACAGGTGTCTATCCCCCATGCCCACTGTCAACCACACCACCGTTAAGCCCGGGATCGGCGGGAGTCCCAGCCACGAGGGGATCCCCCAGGGGCTTCACCTGGGCCAGGGTTTCAGCTGGGATGCTCAGTCCTCCCCTGAAACCCCCCCCTCCCGTCCTCCCCCATGTTTTCCACCACCTGGTGGTCTGAGTGCCGTCAGTCGAGCTCGGGGTCGTGGACGGAAGAGTCGCATCCGGGTACTGGTGGGGGGGGGGCGGTCGCTTTGAGGCCTACGGGAAGCCTCAGGCTCGCTAATCATGGCCGCAGGCGGCAAGGCCTCAGGTCAGGTTGACGCCAGGCCTGAACACGTGAGGCCCGCCCTCAACCCGAAGTGTGTGTGGGGGGGGGGGGGGGGGGAGCGGAAACGGAAAGGCGGGAGCAGCGGAGGCCGCACGTGAAGCCCGCGAGGCGCGGGGCAGCCACGCGCCGCCGCCGCCAACGGAAAGTAGTGCTTCCGGGGTCACCTGGTGGGTGGGGTCGGGGAACGCGCCGTTAGGGTCAGGCTCGCCGGCCGGGAGCCATGAGTTCCTTCCGCCAGCGAGCCGCCGCGTTCCGCTCTCATTTACTCCTCGCTCAACTCCGCTCGGTGTTTAAGGAAGCGTTGAGACTCTCTGAGACCGCGCTGCGGGCCGACCCCCACCAGCTCGGGGCACCGGCAGCGGCTTCCGCTCCCCAAGCCAGAGGTGCCGCGCGGACCCAGGGAAGCCCAGGCCCAGGTCGCGCCGGCCGCCGCGGGGGGGGGGGGGGGGGGGGGGGGGGCGGGGGGCGACGTCGGAGGACGTCAGGTGGGAGGAAAATCCCCCCTCCCACCCCGCCGCACGCAGCGCGGGAAACGGCACGCGGGGGGGGGGGGCGGGGGGCGACGTCGGAGGACGTCAGGTGGGAGGAAAATCCCCCCTCCCACCCCGCCGCACGCAGCGCGGGAAACGGCACGCCGGGGGGGGGGGGGCGGGCGAGTCCATTTGAGTCCCTGCTTACGGGGGGAGAGGGGGGGGGGAGAGAGGTGCCGTTTTCTTTCATGGGGGGTGTGGGGGGTGGGGAGGGAAATCGTTGAAGTTGTTTTCCGTTAAACCGGAGCTCCGAGTGTTGGACTCGGGGTTGTTTCCGCGGAGGCTCAGCTCGCCTTTGCGACCAAGGTTCGGGCTCCCGCATGGAGTTCTCCCCCCCCCGGCCCTCCCAGAGCGGTGGGCTCGTCCGGCCGGGGGCGGGGCGGTTTGAAGCTTGGCGGGTTTTCGCGCTCACCTGGCGCCGTCTCTTGTCTTTCTTTCTTTCTCCCTCTTTCCTTCTCTCTCTCTCTCTTCCTTCCTGCCTTTTCCCCGGTTGGCCATGCCCTGCTCAAAAGAGACCCCCGCCAGCTCCCCCTGCAAGCGGACTCGACCTGCCAAGGAGGGCGACATGCGGCTGCGCTTTGTGAGGCTCTCCGAGCACGCCACGACCCCGACCCGGGGGTCGGCGCGCGCCGCAGGCTACGACCTGTACAGGTGGGTGAGTAGGGGACCCCCCCCCCCCAACACACACCCCGGGATCCGGGGCCTAGCCCGAGCCAGTCAACTGGGGAAACGACACCACTGCTGTGTTTGGTGGTTCGGGCATCTTTGAAGTCGTCGCTTTTTAGCCTAAACTCAACATAGGGACCCCGCAGGTAAACAACCCATGAGATGGCCCGGGCGTTATTTAGCAGTATTGATCCCCCACCCTTTTGCCAAGTGGAAGGCAGAGACAACCTGGCTCGTCTCGGCCTTCGGAGGAGCTGACTGACCCAAGGCTGATCAGGTGTACTGAAATAGAAAAGTCAAAATGGTTTCTAGAAAGGTTTGAGGAAGGCCCAATCTGACTGAAAGGGTTTCTTAACTATACATGTTAGGCCCAAGGTTTGTTAGGGTCACATGATGAAATACAGGAATGCCAGTGTAGTACCATCCTTTAATTTACTTAGAACATTTTAACTATCAAACTTTTGATCACACGTGCTGCCTAATGTAATTTTCACAATCAGATTAGCATCTGTTTTTTTTAACAGGTGAGGGAGTTTGTCAGCAAATTAATTGATTTGCCCAAGGGAAATTTGAATGTGATGTAGGTTTTTTAACTTGGAATTTATTCTTTTCACCTGTTTATTGAACCCAGTTGTTGACCTTTAAGTGAAAAACAATCTTGGGATTAGGGATTTCAAGCATCCCAGATAATTTAAATATGAGCCTACTGACCTAAATTGTACATACTGGGAAGGGCAGAAAGAACTGAGAGAGAGATAGTAACTGAAAAAGAAAAGTAAGTTAGAGAGTGTTGTAGCTGACAGGGATAGTAGTCTAGAAGGATAAAAGAATGATGGAGTTTGACAAGACCCTTCCAAAGTATTAAGTCTGGGCATTGTAAGTGTTGGGGGAAATTTTGACTTGATAATTTTAGGCATTCATCCTCCCAATAAAATTGATAGGATTTCTTTAATAAAATAGAGTGACTTAAGTTGTCTAAAGTAACTTGCAGTTTTATAAAATCTTTGTGTGTGTTTTGTTTTTTGTTGTTGGTCGTGGGGCCTGAACTCAGGGCCTGGGCACTGACTCTCAGCTCTTCACTTCAAGGCTAGTGCTCTACCAGTTGAGCCATAGCACCACTTCTGGCTTTTTCTGCTTATGTAGTGCTGAGGAATCAAACCCAGGGCCTCATGCATGCAAGACTAGCACTCTACCACTGAGCCACTTTCCCAGCCTCCCCCTCTCTTTTTTTTTTTTGTCGGTCGTGGGGCTTGAATTCTAGGCCTGGGCTGTCTGTCCTTGTGTTGTTCAGCACAAGGCAAGTGCTCTACCACTTGAGCAACACTTCGGGTTTTCTAGTGGTTTATTGGAAATAAGGGTCTCATGGACTTTCCTGCCCAGGCTGGCTTTGAACCACAATCCTCAGATCTCAGCCTCCTGAGTAGCTAGGATTACAGGCGGGAGCCACTGACACCTGGCCCCCTTTGTATGTATGTATGTATTTTGTCCCGTTGGCCCCCTTTGTATTTATTTATTGTTTTTGTCCCGTCGTGGGGCCTAAACTCGGCCTGGGCGCTGTCCCTCAGCTCTTCAGCTCAAGGCTAGCTCTCTACCACTTGAGCCACAGCGCCACTTCCGGCTTTTTTTTGCTATATGGTGCTGAGGAATCGAACCCAGGGCCTCATGCATGCAGTTCAAGCGCTCTACCATTGAGCCACCTTCCCACCTCTCCCCTTTGTTTTTATCAAGTGAGCTATGGTGATATCCCAGCAGCATGTTAGAAGTGTTGACATCTCTCCCTCTATCATAAAATTCACAAAGAATTATTTTGTCTAAAAATGTCCTTTTTTGTAAATATCTACTCGGCTTTCAAACTTCATATAAATTGGAAACTCACCAAAGTATGAGTTATTTTATGATCTGTATTTAAAAGAATAATGTATACATTGTTACAGAAAAGAGTAAAAATACATAAATATCAATTGTTTTCTTTAATATCTTAGTGCTTATGATTATACAATACCACCTATGGAGAAAGCCCTTGTGAAGACGGACATTCAGATAGCTCTTCCTTCTGGGTGCTATGGAAGAGTAGGTAAGTAACTTAAGAAATAAATAGGATGAAATAACAGGTTATTGCAAGAACTGTGTCCTAAGATAATAGTACTGTCTCTAATGGGCTCATTATATTGCTTTTGCTAACCTCCACAATACTGGTTTTGTTTTGTTTTTTGTTTTGTCAGTCGTAGGGCTTGAACCCTAGGCCTGGGCGCTGTCCCTAAGCTCTTCAGCTCAAGCTCTACCACTTGAACCACAGTGCCACTTGTGGGTTTCTCGTGGTTAATTGGAGATGAGTTACATGGACTTTCTGCTTGGGCTGGCTTTGAACTGCAATCCTCAGATCTCAGCTTCCTGAGTAGCTAGGATTACAGGCATGAGCCACTGTCATCTGGCTCAATACTGGGGTTTGAACTTGCTCTCCTTTTTGCTAGACAGGCACTGAGCAACCTGACCCACATCCCTAACCCTTTTTGGCTTTTCTTGTTTATTACTGTAGCTTCCTCCTTAATAAAAACTTCCAACAAACACAATTGGAAATTACTCTGGAGACTTTACTCATGCTTTTTAAGGCTCAACACATTGGCCGAAGAGGTTGGGCTAAATGCCTTAGAAAAACTGAAAATTAAGGTAATTTTAATTGGTGCTTGTACCATTGGCTCTGCCCTGCAAGAATTAGATTGTATGTAAGATCATGTTCTCTCTCTGTTTATATCAAGAATAGTTTTGTTATTTTATACTAAGAATAGAACTCCACTAGGTACAAGTGGTTCCTGCCTGCAATCCTAGATAACTTGAGAGACCCGAGATCAGGTGGTTGAAATTCGAAGCCAATATGATCAGCAAAGTCCTGGGGGCTAGAATCATGGCTCAAGTAGTAGAGCTTAGAAAAGCCAAGAGAGAGTGCAAGATCCTGAGTTCAAGGCCTGTACGGCACCATACAAAGTAAAACTAAATTTTAACCCATTGAACCTTGTCTTGTTCAGTATTTTCTCTCCCATTGGATAAGAAGGGACATTTCAGTTGTCTAGAGGAGAAATAGCTCTTATATAATGGGAGGAGCTAGGACAAAATGAACTGCAAGTCAGCAGGTTTGACTTTTCTGGGAAAGCCACTGTCACCAGAGAGTGAATTTAAAACTTGTAAAGAGCATAATATAGGTAGCTGTCAGACTAAACATGAAGAGAAAAGTGAAACGGTGAGTCCTTCTAGGAGAGTGACTTACCAGCTATGTGTGGAAGAAACACTTTGGCCATATAGGGCAATGTAGCTCACAGACCATGGAGGGCGTTTCATTTGGTCCAACCAAGGCAACTGCAGATGGGTCAGCAAATTGAGCTTTTTTCATAAAATCTATCATAATCACATAAACTTTGAGGATGAACAAGGAATATCCAGGAAAAAAAATTGGGCACTTGCCTGGTCCCTTTAACATCATTGACTATATTTTTAGGGTGGGGAAAGATCAAGGGATGGAATGTAAGTCAAGGCAAGAGGTAGCATTTATTGTCGAAGCTCCTACTTTTCTAAAACACAGGCTTTCTTATTTCATAATGATAAATGTATTCAGAACGATCTGTTTAAATTAGCATGAAGAAAGATGCTAAAAGAGTATCATACTAAATTGCAGCACTTGTATCTATATTGCCCTTCTCCACTTAAAATAGCATTTTTTTTTTTTTAGCTCCACGTTCTGGCTTGGCTGCAAAACACTTCATTGATGTAGGAGGTAATATTTTTACTGTTGTAGTTGATAAATGTATTAGTCCTTAAAAATGTACATATTCACATGGCAGATTTTATTATATCTTTAGAGTTTTAATCTGAAGTAATAAGACAGTTTAAATGTATAGTTTTACATACTATTTGGTAACATCCTGTTTTTAGTCATTTTGTAAGGTTTGTATTAATCAGATAACTTGACACTAAGAAAAGATTTTTAACTTGGTGTAGTGATAATCTATACTTCCATCAAATTTAATTTTGACTCAGATAAATCAATATGCTAAATTCTCTTGTGACTGTTTTTATGCAGCTACTTTAGGAGGATTTTAAGATGATGAAACTTGTTCAGTGGTGAGAAAGTTGTTTTATGTTCAAAACTGGAGTATATACATCTGATTTCTACCTCTTTTTTCCTTAGACTGCAATTAAAGATGGAGATTACCATTCCTATATCCATCCCTTCAGTATTGTCCAGAATCTGTTGGGTCTTTGTGCTACTGCAGTGGTTAAAAGCACCTACTAACGCCTGGCTGTCTTAATCTAACGTTTTGGAAGGGTCTTTGTGTCACCCCATGGTGTCACTAGGTGGTGCTGTGGTACAAGACAGAAGGCCAATCCCAGTTCTTCACTTTTTGTTTTTTTGTTTTTAATAGCAAGGATTGTTTTTGACAGCCTGTAATTGGGTTGAGTCCCTGAACAGTATTCTCAGAAATACTTCATGTGGTCATTTGGCATGCATTTAATAGTCTACCTTAAGAATATGAAAGACTGTATATATTTTGAATGCAATTTCAAAGGATTATGAAAGGAATATGGACTTGGAGCTTTAGTTTCCTTAACCGTACAAATAGATACTAGTGTGCCTACCTCTGAAGGGTGGAAGGATGAAATGATAATGTATGTAAAAAGCATCTGACACATCACATGTTTAATGATACATGTCTTAGGGACTTGACTTTTTTAATGTGGAAACATTTTTCCCTACCCCGATTTTGTTACTAATTTTAGCAACTTTTTGGGAAAAAAATTTAAGTAATTGGAAAGTTAGGTTGCTTGATGTATGGTATGGGGTTATTCATAAAATCACATTGTGGTATGTTTTTGAATGCAAAGTATCTTAATAATGTCGCAGGTACAAGTTTATTATAGTTGACAATTTTTTTTTTTTTTTCCTGAAGAGACACTGTTAGAAATCTTAAGCTGTAAATAAGGGTCAAAGGGAAAAGTTGAGTATGCAGGATTTTGTTCAGAATTCACATCTGGTAGGTGTGGATAGTTTTCACTAAAGGTTTCCAACAAATGACATGCCAAAGTCTTGGAACTGAAGTCAGTTAATCACTCTGCCAGTTCCAATGCATGATTTTTCCAATGATAACTTCAAGACACTTGAAGTTTTCTCTGAAGAAGAAAACTATCCCTGATGCTTACGTCTTTTATGCAGGAAAAGAATAAGTCTTAGATGATTCTCAAAACACAAATGACAGTTTGTGTTTTGGAACTGTTGAATTTTGCATACCGTAAGCACTCATACTTAAGAAATAGGTTTCAGTTGAAGATCTTTTTCTGCCATACATTTTCATTGGCTCCAGTTTTATCTTTAGTCAGTTAAAGGCTTTTTTACATTTTTGTGTTCCATGCATAAAATCTTAGTAGATTATTTGGCCCTGTAGGATTCAAGATCTACAGCTAGTAGAGCACCCCAGACAAGAGTGTGTTACAAATACATAGCAGAAGCCTTTGCGAAAAGGGAGATTTTTGTAAGATTGAAAATACCATAACGTTCAGAATATTTGCAGCTTTGTGTTGGTGGCTCATACCTGTAATATTAGTCTGTAGGCTGAGACCTAGCATGTCATAGTTTGCAATCATCCCAGGCAGAAAAGTCTGTGAGACTCCCATCTCCAATTAACCAGCTAAAAGCTAGACTGGAGGCATGACTGAGGTGATAGCTTTGAGCAGGCAAGGGGAGCCAGAGTATGACATCCTAATTTAAGCCCAGGTACAGGCAAAATAATAATGGTATATATTCCACATTTTCTGTCTGAAAAGAATGGCCAAGGTTTATGTGTGTATATTAATCTAAAAGGCTGTCTCTTAATATTTTTAGTGAAAAAAGTAATATGTAAACTTAATTGTAAAATGTTGTCTCTCAAATGGTTAACTTAAATTTTTCTTAAAGTAGAAACAAAAAAGCCTGGAAGGGGCTGGGAAGGTGGCTCAGTGGTAGAGCGCTTGCCTTGCATGCTTGAGGCCCTGGGTTCAATTCCTTAGCACCACATAAGCAAAAAGAAAAAAGCCGGGAGTGGCACTATGGCTCAAGTGGTAGAGCGCTAGCTAGCCTTGAGCTGAAGAGCTGAGGGACAGTGCCCAGGCCAGCATTCAGGCCCCCCCTTCCCCCCCCCCCCAAAAGCCTAGAAATCAAGCTACGTCTTCTTTTTCAAACTTACTTGAGCTTCTGCCTCAAATTCCCCAGCCTTCTGTGGTCCTTTGTTCCAGCACACTATGGTACACTGAAGGTTTGCTCTCTTAAATCTAAGCTAATTCATACCTGCAGTCAAAACTTGCTTGGTATAAGTAACATGGAGACAACTGGTCCCTTTTTTCTATCAGTTTTCCTAAGTGTTAAGGACTAAAATTAATGGACAGTTCACAGTGATGGAAGAAAGGTTTCCTTGAATGTGCCCAAGTTTTATTGCCTTATTGCTGTCATTCAGTCCAGATATGAGATGAATTGCATTAGCTGCTTTCTAGACTGTATAGCAGGCTTCAAGGCTTGTAATCAGCCTAGTTTTCCACCTTCGTGAGAAAATGGAGATAAGATGTAGTTTGAATTAACTTTGTTCTAAGTAATTTTTTTGTATGGCCTTAAGATAATTTGGAGTATGGCCAACCAGCCTGAGTACCCATTGAGCTGGATTCTTGACTATTACTTATTTTCTTTCTTGAAGATATTTTTTGGTTTGTTTGGGGAAGATAAGAGTACTAATAAGGATAAGTGAGATAAAAAGTAGCTATGTTGTTTATATGTATCTCATTCAGTTTTTTTACAAACCAAGCAGAAAGATGTAACTGGTATAGGGAGTGGGGTTCAGGAGTGGGTGACTTGATAACAGTTAATTTCTTTGTAAGGTACTAAAAGTATTCTAAAACTGGTTGTAGTGATGGTTGCACAACTTGAATATACTACAAAGCAATGGATTACTGTAAATGGATGCATGATATGACAAGTCGCCATCTTTTTAAAAAAATGAGCAGCTGGTGCACTTGTATTATATGTGCTTATGTTTGTGGAAGCTTGTTAAGTTCTCAACCCCCAAAAAGCAAGTCTAACAAGTCTGGTAGATTTCTGGGCCATAGCAGGGACTGGTTCAAATCTGCAAAGATCTGCTTTATCTTTGTTTATAATGTGTAAAGCTACTGACTGGACATTTAGAAGTTCACATTATTTATGAGTGTGCAGGAGTGTACCCATTGTAAAGCTTGAGAGGTAAGGTCCTCTAAGAGATCATGGTTTTGAAAAAAATCTGTGGTTCAAATTAAGAAGACTGAAAAGTATAGCTTTTTTTTTTTTAATTTTTTTTTTTTTGTCGGTCGTGGGGCTTGAACTCTGGGCCTGGGCGCTGTCCCTCAGCTCTTCAGCTCAAGGCGAGCGCTCTACCACTTGAGCTACAGCGCCACTTCCGGTTTTCTGGTGGTTTATTGGAGATAGGAGTCTCACGGTCTTTGCTGCCCGGGCTGGCTTTGAACCGCGATCCTCAGATCTCAGCCTCCTGAGTGGCTAGGATTACAGGCGTGAGCCACCAGCGCCCGGCATTAGCTTTTTTTTTTTTTTATGGAATATCCTGATACTTTCAAGACTGCTGATAAACAGTGTCAGCATTGACTTATTCCAATGTAGATCTTCAGACTTTTTGACATCTTTATAACTGTCATATTTCAATGAGAATATTAGTAAAAACCTGCTACCAGGAAAAGTCTTTGAAGCCCAAATCATAATTTTTTCCTACTCTTGGCAAGTATGCCATGAGTAGACAGATTGGAGATAATTGCCACTCAGCAATTTGATAAGGGAGCCAAGTTAGAAAATGATCCATTTTCTAAATTCTTATTTGCACTCCAATAATGTCAGTGTTCTTTTCTTTTTCTTTTTTTCTTTTTGAAGGGGTCCGGTCTTGGGGCCTGAACTCTGGGCCTGGGTGCTGTCCGTCAGCTCTTCAGCTCAAGGCTAGGGTTCTACCACTTGAGCAACAGCACCACTTCCGGCTTTTTTCTTTTTGCTTATGTGGTGCTGAGGAATCGAACCCAGGGCCTCAGGCATGCAAGGCAAGCACTGTACCACTGAGCCACCTTCCCAGCCCTGTCAGTGTTCTTTTCATGCTGTACATAGTACCACCACAAGGTTTACTGGTTCATATGTAAGGATAAAATTTTCAGAGCTACAAAGAATAATCTAGGCTAGTGTTCTGGCTGCATAAATCAAGGTTAATAGAATTTTTCTTTTCTTCTAGCTGGTGTCATAGATGAAGATTATAGGGGAAATGTTGGTGTTATCTTGTTCAATTTTGGCAAAGAGAAGTTTGAAGGTATGTTAAATACATTCATTCACATAAATGTACTGAATTTATTATGTGTCTGCAGCATTCCTCTAATCCTCATTGAGTGGGATAATATAGAAAATGCTTCAGAGAAATATCAGTAATTCACTTTTGTTTTTGCTTTCTTTCAAGTGAAAAAGGGTGATCGAATTGCTCAGCTCATTTGTGAGCAGATTTTTTATCCAGAAATTGAAGAAGTTCAAGTAAGTATCATAAGAATGGAGAATGAATATAAGATAACAACGAGAAGAAATGTCAGAAGATAATAAATGCTGTTTGTAACTAGATCATGTATATGAATAATGCTATGGAAAGCAAAATTAAAATCTTTTGGATTTTCTTGGTTTTCAGGTAAATATATATATATATAGTATTTGAATAGTAAATTACATCAATACACTATGAAATTCTGCCATTTTCTTAGCTCTTGAAAATTCTCCAGTATTCCAGTGGTATGCATGCAGCCTTTTAAAATTTTTCTTCTTTTGGTAATCTCCTTGGTTTGGTTTTTGACAGTGTCTTGCTGTAGCCCAGGCTGGCATGAAACTTTTGATCTTGCAGCCTCAGCCTCCTGAAGGCTGAGATTATGGGCATATGTCACCATGCGGGCCTGTAATCTCCCTTTTTAAAAGATGATATATAGTAGGGAATGAAAATCTTTTAGTAGGAGCTATAGAGAAGTAAAAAGACTAAAATTAACTCTGGCTTGCTATCTTTCTATCTTTTCAGGTCTTGGATGATACTGAAAGGGGTTCAGGAGGTTTTGGTTCTACTGGAAAGAATTAAAATTTGGGCCAAGAATAGAAAATGAAAAGGCATAGTTTTTATTAAAAATAATAGGTTTTGCGTCAAGTGTTTTTGGTGTTTTGCACCATAGTAAACTTAATAGTTTTAACTTGTAAAAAAGTTTATTTTCTTAACGATAGAAGGAAAAGTTACTTCTGTCGGGATTATATGGAAACTTATTTTGTGTTTCTGAAATTGCTAGTATGAAAATCTATCTGTTTTGTGAATACTTGACAAGTTTTAAAAAATCAGATGTACAATTTAATTCAATAAAGAGTATCTCATTGGTTCTGCTTTAATTGCTGTATGAATCATCAGTGCTTGAATCATAAACGAATTCTCTCACAGGTACACATTGAATAAGCTGAACTAAAAATAATCAAAATGATGTTTTCTTCATTTGTCAAATTTTCTTAGTAATATTAAGATTCTTTGTAAATAAGGAGAGAACCCTCAGCTTATTGTTGTGCTTTTTTTTTTTTTTTTAACATTGATATTCCTTTTGGTAACTTCTTGTTTGACTGAGTAGAGGCTTGTTTGTAAAAGGAAGTGTTATTTAGGAATTTCTGCTTAGTTGGTTCCTCTGAGTTTTAGCTCATCAGCCAAAGTATTAGTTGTACTTATCCAAGTTTCCCTTGCTGAAGTAACAATAAATAGGCCGTGCCCAAGAAAATATTTAAGAGGAATAAAATGAATGACTTAATATTTTTTGGGTTATTCCATCCCAAGTACATAGCTTATTTGTAAGCAGATATGCATTGCAGGTATGGGACTGCTTTTGTGGATTTTCTTGACTAACATCTGCTGCAACTTTGTTAGTGTACTTTATGCTTACCAGACTCCTTTGTGCTAGTTTTGTTTTTTGTATTTTTTTGTGGGTCTTGGAGCTTGAACTCTGGGCTTAGGTGCTGTCCTTGTGCTCTTCAAGGCGAGCGCTCTGCTGCTTGAGCCACAGTGCCACTTCCGGTTTTCTAGTGGTTTATTGGAGATAAAAGTCTCATGGACTTTCCTGCCTGGGCTGGCTTTGAAACGTGATCTTCAGATCTCAGCCTCCTTAGCTATGATTAGAGGCATGAGCCACCAGCGCCCAACTTGCGCAAGTTTTGAGTGCTTAAAGTTTCTTGGTCAGGTGCCCTGTGGACTCCCAGCCATTGTTTGAGGGGTGGAATATTGCTGGAACTGTTGATTGTGTTTGGTATAACTGAATCTTGGCTAGTGTAACAGTTGAATAAGAATACATATTATTAGGTGGCTACCAAGAGATGTACTCTTCAGTAAGGTTGATTAGCACTTTATAATGTTTATCCTTTTTTTTACAGTAGAAGGGATTTGAATACAGGACTTCATATTTGCAAGGAACCACTTGAACACACCCTCTTGAACTATGCCTCCAACCCTTTTAATCTAGGTATTTTTGAGAAAGGATCTTAGTATTTGCCTAGTCTGGTCTGGACTGTGATCATTCTCTTTACACTTCTTTTCATAGCTGGAATGGCAAATAAATTGCCACCATGCTTAGATTTTCCTGTTGTAATAAGGCCCCAAAAACTTTTTCTTAAGCTGGCCACAATTTTCCTCATCTGGGTTTCGCAAGTAGCTGGAATTACAGATGTGAGCATCATGTGATCTAAGGAGACAACTAGATGAAAACCTTGTGATAAGTAAAGTAGATTTCTTTTCTTGAGTCTACTTGGTTGTACATGCTCCAGATAACTAGACAGATGAGTGAAATGTCCTCTTCTACAGGCAGATTTTTCCCCACTAGAAAGGAAAACAAAAGCCTTGTTGACAATCTCCGTTTCACCTTACTGGAGAGGTACTGCAGCGTCATTTTCTATCTACTTATTTTTTAAGGTAAATAGGAGCACTGGCAGGCTAAGAAAGGTAAGCACCTGGAGTGTGCTGGTGAGGTGAAACTGTCAGCAGTTTCTGTTAGCAGAACTTCATGGTACAGAAGTTTGAAATCATGGACCAAAACTCAATTACAATACTGATGGTACAATAATTCAAAATTCAGGGAGTATAGAAAAAGGTTGCTTGGGCTGGGAAGTTGGCTCAGTGGTAGAGCGCTTGCCTTGCATGCATGAGGCCCTGGGTTCGATTCCTCAGAATCACATAACCAAAAAGAAAAAGCTGGAAGTGGCGCTGTGTTTCAAGTGGTAGAGCGCTAGCCTTGAGCTGAAGAGCTGAGGGACAGCGCCCAGGCCCAGAGGTCAGGCCCCACGACCGGACCAAAAAGAAAAAGGTTGCTTGTAAAATCCATATGCAAATCTTAAGGCATGTACTCATTCTAGTAAAAATAATAATATCCCTGAGGAGATAGGCAAAGCTATTTTATCTTGGTTGTGAAATTTTTTTTTCTGTGGTTGACCTGAGCTTTTTTAGCTGAGAAATACCCTTTAGTATTCTATCCTATGAAGATAGGTGAAGAGGGAGGGATGCCTTATCAAAAGCAAAAATAAAATGTCGGAGTGAGTCTTTTCTAATTGGAGATGGATTATATTGTTGGTGTTTGATATTGGTTTTTTTTTCTTACCGAAAAGAATAAACACATGGGAAATAACATATTTTGACTTGAAGAATCCTTTCAAGAATATGAACCCCAGGCACTAGTGGCTCATGCCTATAGTCCTAGCTACTCAGGAGACTGAGATCTGAGGATTGTGGATCAAAGCCAGCCTGGACAGGAAAAGCTGTGAGACTTATCTCCAATAAACACCAGAAAATGAAGTGGAGCTGTGGCTCAAGTGATAGAGCACTTGCCTTGAGCTGAAGAGCTGAGAGACAGCGCCCAAGCCCAGAGTTTTTCCCCATGACCGACAAAAAACCCCAACAAACTAAATATATGAGATGAAGCTGAGTGCCAGTGGCTGAGGACTAATCCTCACTGTTCAGGAGGCTGAGATCTGAAGATCATAAAAGAGAACCTGGGCAAGAAAGTTTTTTTTAATTTTGTCTCTACTTAATCACCAAAGAGCCAGAAGTAGAACTGTGGATCAAGAGGTAAAGCTCCAGCTTTGAGGGAAAAATATTCAGAACAGCACCTAGACACCAAGTTCACACTCCAATACCTGCAAGCACATACAAAAAGTATGTGATGAAAAACAATATATTGAACTAAGTACTCAATACATAAGAATAAACCTAAACAAGGAGATGAAAAACTTACATGGTGAAAATACTAAAGAAAATTTGAAGATCCTAGAAGACCTCCCATGTTAATAGATTAGCAGAATTAATACTGTAAAAATGTCTCTTACCAAAAGCAATCAAAAACTAGAAGTTTAATATAAGCCCCATCAAAATTCCAATTTTTTTTTACAGGTATGGACAACTGTAAGATTCATGAGGAAACATGAAAGAACCCCCCTTCTCCCCCAAGAAGTCAAAGGAATCGAGCAAAAGGCAGTGCTAAACAAAATACTTAATTTCAAATTACACCACAGAGTTAGAGTAACAACAGCATGGTACTGGCACAAGAATTGATATGTAGACCAGTGAGAGAAGACCCAGAAGTAAGCCCACACGGTTAACAGCCTGATTTTTGACAAAATGTGCAGAAAATACTAGGAAAAAGCTCCAGCAAATGGTGCTGGGAAAACTGAATATCCACATCTACAAACAAGCCTGTGCAAGATTCTCCCTGTACAAAAAGTAATTCAAAATGGATTAAAGATCTTAAGGTGCAACCTAAAACTTTTAACCTTGAAGAAAACACTTCAAGAATCAGACATAGGCATAGACTTATTTGAATCGCACTCTAGTAGTTTAGAAATAGATTGGCAAGTTACATAAAATTAAGCTGTACAGCAAAAAAAGATAGCAAAGTGGAGAGAAACAATGGGAGAAAACCTTTGTCACTTGATAATGACAATATACATAGTATTTGAGACTCAAAATTAATACATAGATTACAGAAGTCTCAATAGAAATATAAGTAGCCAGTAAATGTATGAAAAAAAGTTCATTTTATCTGTGAAAGAAAAATGCGAATTTCAACTACATTGAATTCCCATCTCATCCCAATCAGATGGACTATCATGGAAACAATTCTGGTGAGGATGTGTTGAAAGGGAATCCTTATATATTGTTAGTGCCCAGTCATGAAAGTCCTTGAAGAACTAAAAGCCAAGCATGACGGTTTCATGTTGGTAATTCCAGCTACCAGAACAACTGGTATGACGACAGCTTGGGCCAAGGAGACCCCATGTCAACAAAAAAGCTGGGCGTGGTGACATGTCATTCCAGCATGGTCCAAGTTATCCCTAGCAAAGTCAAGACATTCCAAAAATAAGCAGAGGGGGGAAAAATAGGCTAGGGGCATAGCTCAAGTGGTAAAGTGCTTGCTTCACAAGGCACAAAGCCCTGAGTTGAAACCTCATTGCCAGCCCTTGATGTCATATAATCCTGCTATATATAGATATATATTAGCCTAGGTATAAAGGAATCAAGCTGCATGCTATAGATTAAAGCATGCTTATTTTTATTGTAGGACTATTTACAATAGCTAAGTTTTGTGATCAGCCTTGATGCTCCTCACCATGAAGGGATGAAAAAATTGTGCATGTACACAAATGAGGTATTGCCTAGCCATAGAGAGTAAAATGTGGGCTGGGAAGGTGACTCAGTGGTAGAGCGCTTGCCTTGCATGCATGAGGCCCTGGGTTCGATTCCTCAGCACCACATAAGCAAAAAGAAAAAAGCCAGAAGTGGCACTGTGGTTCAAGTGGTAGAGCACTAGGCTTGAGTTGAAGAGCTGAGGGACAGCGCCCAGGCCCAGAGTTCAGGCCCCCACGACCGGACCCCCCCCCCAAAAAAAAAAAAGTAAAATGCTATTTGCACGATAATAGAATTGGAGGTCTTGTTAAGGAAAATAGCTAGACTAAACTGCAAATTCTTTCATACATGAACTCTGGGTTTTTTTAAATTACATGAAAGTACAATGGGCCTATTTGGAAGGGACCATTGTGAAGGGAAAGGTAGGAAAGAGGTGATAGATATAATCAAAGTACAATGTCTACATGTATGAAAATGTCAATGAAATCCATTGTCTTATATAATTAGTATGTGCTAAAAATTTGTTAGGGACTAAGGCTAAGTTGGGAGGATTTCAATGAATCCCAGGTCTCATGAAGGAAAAGTATACCGACTATGAAAGTAAGATTACAGAAATTTTAACAAGTTATTGAATTGTGTAATTATTTAAAATGAGTTTTATAGATGAATTAAACTAGCAGAATGTGTGCTGAAATGATTATCTTTGTTGGAATTGCTGACAGTTTTTTCTTTTTTGCATTAT